TTAAACTAATAAATAATAAAAATATATTTGGGTGTTAAGTTTAACATGAATTTAGATTTAGGTCAAAGACAAGTTAATGGAAAACTAAAAGATGGTATAACTAAAAAGTTAAAGAGATTAAACCAAAATATCTGAGAGCAGAGAGAATGAAATAGGATATATAAAAATTTAGAAATTAAAAATAATGATTTTTTTTTCATTCCCTCTCTTTATTGCCTTCCATAAAATAAACTCATAGGAAGGGGAAAAATAAAAAAATAAAAAAATTATTTTGGTGATAGTTGAGTTAAATCAGGAATTCGAATCTATAACCTTTTATTCGATGATGTATGGTTGAATCTATTAAAATATTTAGGTGGTCAAAATATTAGAGGTTGTTGAAGAGGGGATTCTTATAATAATTTTTTTTTAAAGAAGGAAAAAAATTGCTTCAATTATTTAAAAAATATATTTGTGAAAATAAATTAAGAAAAATAAAGATAAAAGTAATAAGTTTAGGTGATATGTATTTATTTCTTATCCTTCGAAAAAGATTTCAACCGGTGTGTGAGTTTAAAGATTTCAAAAGTTAAATTTCTCACGCTCGTAATTGTTGAACTACACAAATTAAAAGTATGTTTTAAAGGATTTCTAAATGTTGACTAAAAAAATCAAATGGATATTTTAAGGGTCTAATATTTTGAGACGTTCTTTAAAAAAAAACGCAAAAATGACTCGATTTATAACTTGAAGTAACCAAACCCAAAAAAATTCATAGTTGGGTTTGTGTTCATATATTATTTTAAAATAATTATCTTGGTTGAACAAATTTGCAATAAAAACTTTTAAGTTGGGTAAAAACAAATCTCTTTAACTGATTAAGATAACTCAATTTAAATTAAAGTCAAATTTTATTTTCAATAATTAAATAGGTCAAAAAATCAACTAGAATAAGAAACAAAAAGGGAAAATGCCATTCATTTTAAAATTTTTCTTTATAACTTTGAACTAATTAAAGATATATTAATAATGAATTTACAAGTTTTAAAGGTAGCTACTAGTTATTCAATCAATCATGCTAAATAACTCTTATTCAAATACCAATTATAACATCTAAAACTCACTCTAGTTTTGAAAAAGCTCCCTTTCATGTGACACACATGTTGGTCAATAATTTCTTATTATAATCTAGAATTTAATATTATATTCTAAATTTTGAAAACATTTTTCTAAATTTGTAACGCTTAATTGGATCACCTAAATATTCTAATCATTATTTTATATTGGCATGTGAACCATATCCATTGGTTATAATCTTTTATTCCAATTTGAAAAAAGTTGATCTGAATAATTTGGACTAAAATTGACAATT